TTTGGGGAAACCTGAATTAAACCAGGTAAGTTGAGACTTCTTCTCCATAAAAGTTACCCATTCACAGCTTGTTCTTACCACAGAATTAACCTCAGGCCCTCACCTTGGGTTCAGTGGCAGCATTTTCAGCAACACCTGCCATCTACATGACTCTAACTGCTCCAGAAGGTTGAGACCCCTTTCCTCAGTGTAAGGAGTGATGAACTAACTCCTGSAAGTACAGTTGTACCACTCAGTGCCTCCCCAAAGCCATCACCACCATGGCCACACTGAAATGAGCCCTTCAAAATATCCCGAAGCTCTCAGAGCAGATTCTCAAAAAGCTGAACTCTGTCTTGTGCACAGAACATCGACCCRGGGCATGGTAACTTTTCCTATTTTAACTGCTGCATTTTCATCTTCAAATGCCTTTACAAGCATTAATTAATCCTCACAAAGTAKCTTTGAAGTAGGGATCATTAGTGTCTCATTACACAGGGAAACTGAGGCAGGAACTCATTGCCACARGCCAACGAGTGAGTTTCTCAGAGAAGCCCCCAAGTTTTAGTTCTACTCCTCTGTCTCCCTTCTCCTGCTGTGCCTCTTTTTAAACACAGAAACACTCTTAAGACAAGACCCAAATTCCAGAAAAGCAAACATTTCCAGCCTTTAAACAATAATAGAGGGCTTCAAATGATAACATCCTGCTAAGAATAGAAACATCAGAATAAGATCGGGTTTGCTTCCACCAGTCATCATGTCAACATGGAAATTAAAACAAAAGCTCACGCTACTTTTTGGCAATGAAATCAATAGCTGCAGCCTTTAAACATTTTTCCCTGTGACAAACACAACATCAGAAGGACAGCAGGTRAAGTTAAGCTGAAGATGTTCAAAATCTGCACTGATGAAACTGAACTTGTGCACRTCTATTTATGAAACTGAATAGTCACAACATTCCTGTTCTGAAGAGAGACAGTGTGAGAGCAAAGCATTGCTTCCTTCAGCTCTTACAGCACCAAAAASTCAACTGTTTCCAACCCATTTCCTATTCCTTGCAGAAAACCTGTCTCAGGCCAGTCACCTGAACCTGCAGGTAACAAAAGCCAGGTAAGAATTCAGGATTCTTTCTATGYAGCAGGTCTGGGAAGCAGTTAGGAGCTGCCAACTCCTTACACAACACAGCTGCTCTCTCAGAAGGAAAAGCAATGATTAGAAAGCAATTCCAGGCCTAGCGCTTTTGTTTTGGTTTGTTTAAGGAACAATCAGTAGCACTGACYTGAAAAATTTCCACAGACACATGGTCAGTATGGAAACAGAATACACAGGTTTATTGTTTATCAGCTACACCATGGAGTATGTTCAATTCTCTGTAGGCTTTTGAAGCTGAAGATGCTTCTCAAGGGGTATGGTGACAATTATCAGCAGAACTGATTGGAAATGATGTCTCCTTCCAATGGGGTTCTGAGAGGGAAATTGAAAAATCTCATAAACCCACCATTCTCTACCCATCAAGGTAGGAACTGAAATCTGGCTTCCCCTTCCA